AATACAGAGAAAAGTTTAAAAATTTGGCAAGTATCAAATCAACCCATAAGGCAAACTCCATAACGCAAGTCATTCAAAAGCCTTTTAGAAAAGCGTTTTGCAGTAATCACTGTCCTATTGATAAACCCCTTTCCAGTCATGCAATTAAAGTCATCAGGAATTTTTTTTTTTTTTAATCAAATGCATATACTTAAAGCCCAGGTCACTATCTCATGCTTTCATTTTAATTTCTTCTGCGGTTCACACAAGAAAATTACTCTTGCACACCCACTTACATTGTGTCATGCAGTAAGAGCATTAGTTTTCTTTACAGACATCACTTTAAAAGGAATATTTTCATTAAAAATTCAAACTTTTACATGTGTTGGCGGTTTTTATGAATAAGTTTTGCAACAGTTTAACAAAACAATGTTTCTTCTAATGAGTCCTTTATATAACATAAGAATTACAAGAGTGCTGGGGAATTGAATATAAATACCTATTTTCCAGAAAGTTAACGCTGGTTTTAGAAGCTAGCGGATCTCACCTGTCTTTTTCGTATTGATTAGGCACTGGACAACATGAGGAGACAGTACATTAACCTTATCTGATTATATTTCAGCAGCGGCTGTTGTGAACTCACAGATAGGACGTCGGCACTTTGCAAAAAGCAACTTCCTTTATATGAGGAAGTACCTACACGCCAATTTAAACACACACACACCCCCATACAGGGTGGGTTTGGTGAGGGGGAAGGTGAGAGCGAGTGCATTTTGGGGGAAAAGCAGGGGCTGTTGGACCAAAAGCTGCCCTGAGCTGGGGCTTCTCCAGCAGCAGGAAGTTTCTATGGGGCCTTGCCGAGCATGCGCCGTGAGCTCCACGGTCTCCCTATGTGGCAAGAGTGCAGAGGCAACAACCAAACCAATAATAGAGACAAGAGACCAAGAGCAACAAGCACCTTCCCCTCTATATTCCTACCGCCGCCCCCACACAGCCCTCCCCAGGCCGCTCTCTTGGCCCGGGCCCTCCCACATCCATCGCACGGAGCAGGAATTAGAGAGTCTGGCAACCAAATCTGCTACTGGAGAGAGAGGAGAGGAGGAGCAGCTTGAAAGAAAACAGTGGCGTGCATAACCCATCCCTCCACCTCGCACAGCTCAGGTGGCGGCGGGGAAGGAGCAAGCAGCCAGCTTATCACCCCCCTCCCCAACTACAAGAGGGGGTGAGGGGGAGGAGAAGAGAGGGATGGAGATGGCACACAATGGCTGTCTGTGTTTGTGGGGAGGAGATGGCCTACAACAGCAGCCGTGGGGAGCGATCAGGGCTTCTCTGTGCAAAACCCCCCCCCCCCCAATCCCTCACCCCTCATACACCGAAGAAGGGAAAGGCGGGGGGGTGAAAGAGGATCAGGACATTGCCTTGTGTGTGCGTGCGTGTGTCCCCTTCTTGTTTCAAGGGAGAAGCAAAAACAGACACATACATGGCGGGGGGGGAAGCGACCCCCAAGCTGGGGGGAGGGGAGGAGATGGAAGAGACCCACTGCCAGCGCCAGGCTGAACAAAAATAGTTATTTCAGCTTATTT